TAAATCTGTAAATAGAATATCTGAACACGTGTATTTATTAATATTTCACAGATAGATAGAAATACAAATGACACTGGATATCGTGGCATCTTGAAACCCAATTGTTATGAAATACAACCAACTGCAAAGAATCGAACGATTGCAAGCAGTGAATAATGAAGACTTCTATTTCAGTTCTTTTTTGTTCGCCGCCTGTCAGTTTGTTGGCTTCTGTCGGATTTATTTCCACCGCCGTTACCGCCTCGCGTAAGAATCGATTCATCCCCCTTACCCGTTTCACCTTCGCTCCACATCCTGTCTATCGATTCCGCTGATATCTATTTTTACTCGTCGTACACCACCCACCCACTGTGTTTACATTAGAATCTTCCTAAGCGTTATCATGGAATTCGATCGCAGGATAGACGATACGTGAATTCTTGCAAACAGTTCCGAAATAAACAACACGCAACCTACTTAGATTTTTCTTTTTCGTAACTGGCATCGGTGCATCGACGCGTATATCGTAACGAAAATGTGATACGAACGAAATGAAGAAGTCACACTTTGTGAAAAGAACCGTGGAAGTAAAAGACTTGGCGATGACGTCGTCATGACGAGAGCTCCCCAGTGTGTCAGTCCTGTCTTACGTGGTGACGCCTCCTCTGTTTTCATTAAAAGCTTCAACTTTCTCTCTCACGCTCTCGGTATGCATCTAGCCTCGTTCCTCTTCCATTTCTTCGGTACGATATTACTTTTTCTTTTGAAAATAAGAACGATACGAATGCAGAGTCTAAGGGACTCAATTCTTTGCCGTGTTACGCGGGGCTCTCAAAGCAACAGGACGTGAGTTGTTTCGACGAATAACCGTCATCGTTCCCGATGTCCCCGTTTTTCCGTCGCTTTTGTAAGATCAACTCGTCGCTAAGAAATACAAACAGTTCCCACGGTGGCGCGATCACGCTTTGAATTATTCTTTGCTGAAGAAAACGCCACATACGCGGACGCTCGCCACGTTTCTTCGCCGAAGCGAACCTCGAAGAACAAGCTGTTAGTCGACCCTGTTTTTTTATTTTTTTTTTTATTTTTTTCGTTATTCAATCCCCTGTTGCGTTCACGGAGCAGTTAACGATATTCAAACAAACCCTGCGTCGAGAGGGATGTCGGGTCTCCAATCCAGACGATAAAGATACCACTGTGTTTGGTATCAGTCTTTATCCATATAGTAAACAATTCTGATGAAAAATGGGGAAAAAGTTGCATTAATTTTTTTTTTTAATTTCTGCTTTTCTAGTGATTCAAATATCAATTTTCAGTTTTTGCAAAATTAAATTTAATTCGAGAGTTTCACGTGACTTTTAACTTCGTGGGCACAAATTGCATTGGAAATTTAATGGTTACATTGAATTGTCCAAATATGATTTCAATTCAAAATAAAACTCTGACTACATTGTTTCCACGAGTTCCTTTGAAATTTCGTGTTTATTTAGCGGACTATCCACTCCCATTGTGCTCTTTTATTTCCAATGACCAACATTTTCGAAGATCTAAATCAAGACCGTCCCTGTCTCTCCAGACACGCCCCTCCGATGTTACTTTCGCCGTGAAACGTATTGCATAAGACTCGGTAAACGGAATTACGCCGGGTTGACAGATGCAAACGGGATGAAACTGTCCCCCCGTGCTCGGCATGAAGTCCATCGAATGTTAATCGCATAATCTAATATTTACCCTCGCCACGCCTTCTGTGCGTTTTGGCGGAAGAATTTCTTTCCGTTCTCTGTCGAACAGAGTGGAAATTCTTTTATCTGTGCTCCAGTTACCCGAATTCTTTACTGTCCGAGTAATCTGATAGCTAAGCTTACGTTCACCAAAAATTGTATGTGCACTAACAAGGTAGTAATAATGGATATTGCAGTCCATAACAATACTAGAAAATGAAACTTTTTCCCACGTTGTGAGTTTTCAATAGCTCAATTATATTGAACAAGAGAATCAACAGAGTGGAAAAAGGTGAAGAAAGCTAAAAATGGAATGGGGAACATGGCAATATACGAACATCCTACCATAGAAGGAAGATTCCGTAACAATAAATAATTCAAAAACACAAAACAACAACTATTCACAAATATATTATTACTATTATAGGTAAATAGAATTCAACATTCATCCCTACACAGTATTAAAATAATAACAAGACCAAAGAGAAACAATTCCTTGACTGAATCTGCCAAAGAAGTCTTTGAGGCGCCGACAGTTGTTCCCATCATTTCTCATCCGTGTAACCAATATTCATCCCCTTTTACGCAGCCCGAGTATCGAGAGAATAAACGTTCCCCAATTCGTGAATCCGCTAATCCGCGTACCCACGTCTCCCGATTAATTCGACTAATCGAACTTCCAGCAGCATACTCGACGGAATAATTCCATGCCGTTTTCACGTGCTGTTTGCGTGGTCGTCGCTATTTCTATCGTCTCTGTGCTTGCGGTCCTCTAGCAGGAAGTAGGAAGGAACAAAGCAGGGACGAACTCGTAGGACGGCAGGGGGTTAAAGGTAATCCCTATTGTTTCTCCTGTCCCATAAATCCCACTAGCCGCGTCGCCTTCCCGCCTCCTACGCTTCTCTCCCACCCCCCCCTCCTCTAGCACTTCAGTTACCGACAACACAACCCCTCCACGATCCCTCATCCCCGCCCGGACATCCCCCTCTACAACTCCCGCTATTCTCAATCCCCTTGCTACGCCTTTCTCGCCCAGCTTGCTTCGTAAATCTCGATCCAGCTGTGCTTTAGGACACACATGTACTTCCTCGAAGAATACACACGATATCCTATCTCTAATTCGGCGGTACCTCGGTGCTCCGCGGCGGAACGCTCGGGGGAATTCGGTTAACGTTCTGCGTCAGAGGGAGGGAAGCAACGGACGCCTCTTCGGGACCACAGGAAGCGTGATCGCTGTGACCTGGCCGTGAAGATTTATCGAGGGTAATTTGTAATCGTCGCATGGTTGGGGGTAGAGAAGACTGCGGTTATGGCGGGCAATGGCGGTCAGTGTTATTATTATAAGACGAAATGTATGGAACGTGTAATTGTTGCTGTTGTGTACTACAACACTGCAACTCTACAAGGGCAAACTAAGTTGTTGCTACGCAGTTGAAAATAACAAGCGTTTATTTTTACATGTTAGCGATGTTATACTTTGCGTACAGTTACAGTAAAATTCAAATATAATTCATGAATTAATTGATTATTTGTCACTCACGGGCTTATTAAGAATGCAGTGAATGGGACTCAAGCGACGGTATAAGAATCTGCCGTGTTTTAAGTGAATTTACAATGACATTGTTAGTGGCGATTGCACTGAATTTGAAGGAGAACGTTGAAGCTTTCAAAATTAATTAATTGGCACTTAACGCCCGAAGAGTTCTTGGATAATGAATATTACACTAACTTCTTTGCTCTATAATAAGCACAAGTGACCTTTCCGTGACACCTTTATCCACAATGACAAGTTCTTTCTCTATACAATACTCTCAACGAAACAACAGTTTTGAAACAATTTTCTTTCCCCATTCAGATCTTAAATCCTTTTAACATTTGACTAGAATTTCTTCGTAAACACGGTTCGACTGTTCAAAAATTCGTTCTGCTATTCTAAGTTCTTCACGGTGTTTCCACAACGTTGTTTACGATCCATAAAGCTTTCGATGGGGTGCTTGAAGCTCCTGACACGCAGAAAGGTTTATTTTTCTAGTAATACCGTCCATGAATGACTATACAAACGGTATATGTAAATTAAAAAAATATAAGAACTCTACTATTATTACACTTTCATCGTTTTATCTATAGAATGATTTTGATCTGTACATCCTATTACCGAACCCACTTTCTTTATTTAAAATTGTACCGGTAGTAGGAATATGTAGACCATTGTAACTTTTTTATAACTCGATTCCGAAGTTTAGCATTTCGACCTGTCCTTTCCGGGACAACGTGTATATTCGTAACTGCTCCAAGTTTTAATCTCCCTTGACGCTGTTCCTGTAGCCTCGGCTAAAGCACAAGGCAGAGTACAATTTCTGTACCGACCATTAGTACTTCGTTAAATATTCAGCGGTAAATATGTCGTCGGTCGAAGTGCACTCCCTTCATTGGATTATTCAAGAGCTTCGAAAAGAACGTGCCACAATGATGACCAGAAACTCGTCCTTTTATTAAACTTAAACTGAACGACATGTTGCAAAAAATTATTAATCGCTGTACGGTTGAACTCTGTTTGGTGGACTTTTTGGAAGACACAACTATTTTGGGAATTGACACGTGTACGCAGTTGGTACATGCTAACTTTCAATGATTTTGATTGCGTCTAGTTAATTGATACATGGTTCATATAACATGGACCACTGTGTTTACGTAACAAAATTACTATTTGGTAGTTTCTGTAATGGAAACAGAGCTGCGACTTCAGTTACGAAATTATTCAGCAAAATTTGACTTGCTAAATGTTACGTGCACAAATAGAACTTTATTCCACTGAAAGATTCATAAATCTAATAACTGTACTAACATTTCTGAGTATGATTTTGTTCCCGTATCAGCTACATAACAGTAGTCATTAGCAGTACATATCCCAAATCAGTTTCTATTTCCACACTACATTAACTTCTCAAGTAAAACATTCTAAATTTCACTACGACTACAGAAATTATTCAACTCTCTCCGAAACTAATAATCGTTACGATCATTAACAAACTCGAAGCATCCTATAATAGTACGCAAACCAAATCGGTATCGCAAGTATCGATTCGTTCGGAAGATACAACACCGAGTGTGAGTTCAGCACGGCCGATTTGCTCGTAGAAATTCGAAAAACGCGCGAATTTATCGAATCGAATCATCGCGTTTTCCAACAAACTGAATATAATACCGTGGGTTACGTGGCCGAAAATGCGTTAAATTAAATTCAGGCCTCCTCGCCGCACGGTAGCCCCGCTAATTAACGCGTTTTTATTGAAATTGCAGATCGAGGATGCCATGCTGATGTTCGACAAGCAGACCAACAGGCACAGAGGTGAGTGAAATTTATGATTTTCCCTGGGACCGGTTCTATCGAGGGTGAACGGTGATACAATAATTCGATACGTGGGACGAGTGGTGTTGGGGCGGGGAAGGGGAGGGTGGCCAGTAATTACTGTTTAATCACTGATGATCGTTAAAACACGAGAGGAGTGCTGACGACGCAGTATCCACACCGGTGAATTTTCGATGCGCGTCTAGCCGTTGCGCTACTCGCGGAACTTCGCCGCGCGCAAATACGTTGAAAATATGGTCGAGACTATTCTGTTTAGCGAGTCAATAACACCGGCGCTCACGCTCGGAGATCGCGGGATCGGCCAATTAACGAGCTGGCTCGAAACTATAATTAGTAATTACGGTAATACACGACGTCAATGCGCCAAGCGTTGGTACCGGCCGATAGATAAATAACATTAATTTGACGGCGCAATCAATCGGAGCGTTAATCACGACGGTGATTGCACGATTCGACTCCACCACCAACCTCGATGGTACTTGGGACTTTCGTGCAACTTAATCGCGCTACTTTGTGAGTCGGGAGAGAGAGATTAGAAATCGTGACTCGACGCCTTTGGAATTGTACGTATACTTGGCTGCATTAGGCATTTTGAAAATTTCTGGTCTCTTTTCGTCCGTGTTTTAGTGACAGAAGACGTTGAGGAATTCTGAGAAGATGAAACAAGATTGTAGAATAGTCTTTGTATTCCAGATTAATGAGGGATTGAACGGAATTTACCGTGAATCAAACAAGGGGAATAGAAACGACAGCAACTTTCGGTAAATCTGATATTTAAAGAGATCGAAATTACAAGAAAGATCATTGAACAAGCTTCAGATATTTCGTATTCTTATGTTTATCTTATAATTTTCACTAAATCAGTCGCACTGTGGAATTGCGATTTTACTATTCTCTTTACATTCGGAATGAATAAAATTTGGCGTACAAGCAGATATTGAAGTCCAGTTTATATTAAATAAAGCAATAATATCTTTCAAAGATATGTTTAAGAAAATTTCGAATAGTTTTAGCCAGACTTAATATTACTTTATCGTGCAAAACCATTGAAAACTCAGAGGGTACTCCAATTTGTACAAGAAAAAATACAGAATGAAAGATGTCCTATGGTAATTTTATAGGTTCCAATACCGTTCGGTTTCTGATCGGGACAGGATGATTTTACATTTTCATATTTTCCCAGCGAACAGAATTCATTTCGACGTTTATACACGTACGCGGCGAGGATGTAAATGTTCAGGCCGTTTCGATTCCCGGCACGCGTCGCTTCTTTTATTCCTTATTTTAATCGCATCTGAATAAAAGGCTGCCATAACCGACACCACGATTGCCTATTGCTATGCGTGACGGGATTGGCTGAAATTCAAAGATGCCGCCAAGTTTACAGCCCCTCGACGCTTATGAACGGCCGATAACAGAGGATACCTAGAAACATTCCCTATTCCACGAATTAAGATAACACTTGGAATTATGCAATCTTTATTAAAAAATCTGTATTTTCTCTAGCTGACAACATTGAATTGAATCGTAAGGCATTGTACCTAATTCTTTGCAAATTTTCAACATCGTAATTCCATCAGTTTTCAGAGTATCAATTAAGCACACAATGGTAAAGATCGATCCGGTGAAAATTATTCACGTCAGTCCAGGCGAAAAGTCAGGCGAAAATCAAGTGGAAGCAGTTACAGGGAACGCTTCGCGAAATGAGATCGTTCAGTCGGAGAAACGAGGTATCCAGAGGCGGGGATGAATGAAATATTAGACACCTAATGTAATATATACGCCAGCTCTCGACTCCCGGCTCCTTCTACAACCAGAGAAGACTAAGGAGCAAGAGAGATAGGGTGAGTGAGTGAGAGAGAGAGAGAGAGAGAGAGAGAGAGAGAGAGAGAGAGAAGAAGTGGAATACGAATGGCGAGGGGTCTCGTTGTCGCGAGCCTGGATCCATTCACGTCGTTGCTTCAATGGGGTCGATAATCGTCAGCGATCGAGGTACCCCACCCGACCGATAATCGGGGAGTCTCTCTATCTTTTTTAACGGTATCCGCCGCCACCTACCACCACCCCGTGCACCGCGATGTACGCCCTTCGTTCTCCATCCCTCTTCTGCTCTTGAGTAGAGTGCCTGCCGGGTCTCAGTGATAGATTCTAATATCGCTTATGAAAAATAGGAGCAAATGGGATATGAAAGCTGGCTCCCTTCAATGCCACAGGGGGTTGGGAGGTTTCCCGCCGCCTCGAGGGGAGTGGGAAAGAGGGTTTGAACCACCGCGACCGACGATGCCGAGGGGAGGGTGGGTAGAGTGGGCATAGAAAAGGAGAAGATGTGTTGCACGTCTAGGCAAACGGACGACAGCGTGGAAAGGAGTAGGTGAAATAGCGGTGCATCTCTGGAGAAGAAAGAGGGTGGCGGCGAGGAGCGTGAGGCTTGGGAGGGTGGCGAAAGTGGGTAGAAGAAAGGGAACCGGTGGAAAGGGTGCAAGAGAGTGACGGAGGGGAGGGCTCTTTCAAAGCGGCCGCGTAATCTCTCTCGCGATGACATCCAATACCCATCCCCCTCACCCCGCCGTCGGACGAGTCTGCGAACCTCAAACCTCGAACATCGCTGCTGCTCTCCGGCAGATTTCACAATATGGTACTTCCATAGCCGCGGCTGTCTGTGACCCCTAAGGGGATTATTGTCGGATTTTCTGTGAACGTTGCGTGAGCAACTTCGGCCGCAATCAACGGCACACCGATAGATCTTATTCGTTGCCCATTGTCTCCTTGTTTCGCGACGTACTCCCAAACGTCTGTCAATTGCGCTGTTCTATATTAAACTCTCGTACGTGGACCGATTCGATTGTTTAGATGTAGGGAATGGCATCTTCTCGATTCTATGGTACTTGTTGTTAGGGCTACGTTTGAAATTGGTCAGATGTGGGATTTAGATTAGAGTCTGGTATGTAATGTTTCGTTGATTGAGGACGCTGTATGGTTCTGTGGGAGATTGTGTCATTTCATTACTGTAGGAATAAAGAATTGTTTAGTATGCGGAGATAAATTTCGGCTGTTTACTTAAGTTGTTTGGATTACATCTGAGGTTAGGTCTTAACATCGTAAGATCACGCGATGAACACTTTGAATTATTTGAAAGACACTAACTTGTACCGCACAATCTGATTAGCCAACACTGGGCGTACTAAACTTAAGGATTCAGTTTAGTATTAAGTACGCCCTAGTTATTTTCAGTAGAAACGTCTTTTCTGTGAGAGATCATTATCGCTAGTTGGTTCCTCTGGATGCACATAATTATTCATTCCTAATGACCACCACAATTCTTCACGTATATCTAATTGTCAGTCGAGTACAGTCGTCGAACTAGACCAGTCGCTCCCTCATATTAGTAATCGCATCGTACTCGTAGTCACAGTAACTTTGCATAGTAGAAGTCGCCATCGTCTCAGCCCTGACGGTGGCGTCTTCTAAACTTCGTTTTATAAAATAAACCAGTAATTGCCACCACGTTCGTGAAGAATCCTCAATTTTGGCTCGGTTCTCTGTTTTTTACTTCATCTCTCTGTTCACCAAGAAGTCCGGAATCCTGCTCTCGATTGTTCAAACGCTGAGAACCTAGAAACTCCGCAGTCTAATACCTCAGGATATCAAAGAAGAAATTCTTTGCCAAGTTGTCTCGAAACAATCCCGTAAATCCCTTATCCGAGCAAGCCGCGCCAGGAACAAAGAAAATACTATCACTTCCGAGTTTCATAGCAGGCAAAACGAGAACGCTCCTCGCGGAGTACGCAAGATTTCTCCGGCAAACGTCGCGGAGGCACGGTAACCCAAAAAGTGACTCGTTTACATCCGGCTGAAGTGTAAAACGTATGTCGATCGTGGTATAAAAGGGCGGATAGGGAGCTCCTTTAGCCGGGAGGCGAGATCGTTTCTTTGATAGTCGACAACGGCAGGGTGAACTCGGTCCCTTCAAGGTCGTAACGTTCTCCGGGCGTAGATTCGATTTCGATCTAGCGCGAGGATCGAGGCGGGTCGGCACGACGTCGGTGAAAGAGAGACAGAGATCTTTGTCGAATGTTCCCGGGGCCGACCTCTTTACGTCCAAATCCCTGAAGAAGTTGCCTCCGTGAAAGAAGAATCCGAGCGTTTCCGGACAATTTCGAGTCCCGCAGCAAGCTATGATTTCCACGCGGATGGGCAGGCTGCAATTGCACCAAAGCGTGTCTTCCCTCTGCTGTGGTAGCCGGCGAGGAGAGGCGCGACTATAGCTCCGGGCGCGATTATCCAAGCTTCGCTGGCCAAAGGATTTTCTCTTCGTGAGCTCCACCCTTACGCGGATGGGGGCGGCGGCGGAGGCAACGGCGGAGGCGGATAGGGAGCCGCACCTATAAGGCTGTGGAGCGAAGCCACGGGTCCGTAGTTTCATCTCGTACAGACACCAGGGTACGTACCGCGCGTGTATTTACACACGAGCGGTAGCGGCGGCCACCCTCCTCCCCCTCCCCTATTCCAGCGTTTATATATCGCACAGAGTGTGTATGTGTCCGCGCGTGTACCTTGTCATAAATTGCTGGCACATTGCTCCTGGATGGAACACGTATGTGTTCCTGTACGCCCAACCCCCAGGACCGTTCCTCTCCGTCCTTCCTGATTGCCTACCGGCGATGCTCCAAAAGAAGGACTTGTTTACTCATGCGTGAACACGCGTCAAAGGGACGTCCACCTTCAATCGTTCATTGAATCTCTGCTCGTGCATCCACCGACGATCGAGAAGGGGGGATGATTCGACGTGGACGGGGAAAATTGTGCTTTTCGGAGTAACCACGTTTTATGGAGACCCGTTTCACGATTTTCTGCGGATTGCGGGATAAGGGGTTCTACTCGTTCGATCGTGACCACGGATTTTTTAGAATTCGTTTTCTGATGATTATTGGTCTTGTGGTTCTTGATTTGTTATTTGATTTTGAAGAACGTAGATTCTG